GATTGCGGTTAGGGTCAGTGGGCCAGTAAGTAGGTGAGTTGGGAGGAAGCAGGCTGAAATGTTTAGGAGAGAACTGAACTGGACATTGGATATGGATATGTTAGGAGGAAAATGTGCTGGTGCTAGGGATCGGAAAGGGGAAGGGTTTGATTAAAATGGCGGTGGATTGTAGGAAATCTTCAGTAGGTAACGGAAATAGGTGATGAGAGTAGGATTCATGACAGCACTTGTTCTTCGGTCAGGATTGTCAATACGGTATGTTATGTACTGTGGTATGTTTAAAAGCTGTTTTCTGGTCAGTCGAGTATCCGTAATTGGTCCTATGTCTATATTCTCATCCATTAGTAAAGCTGTTAGCTCAACTCAACTAGATTTCTAACAACATTCGCATTCCAAAGAAGAATGGATAAGGATTTGGAAAAAGTCATTTAAGATTTTTTTTTAAAGCAAAGATGAGATAAGATACGAGATTTGTAAGGAGTGATATGAGTATATCTATGGTTGGCATTTCGATTGAGTTGGCATTTCGATGAGGAGGAATTTTATGTTGGTGAGTTTGTTCATTGTTAGGTATATTAAGATAGATAGGATCTGGAGGGTAGGGTTGAGGTTGTTTGCGACAGAGCTTCACATTTATCAGTTTGGTTCTTACCTCAAAGTAGTTGGAAAAATGATACACAGCTATTCTAGAAGGTTCAATCAGGAGGTTGTAATGGGTAATTTATGCGACTAGGATTGTTGGTTGTGGATGTGCCCGACGTGGGGTACGAGTAGATGGTTCTAAATTCTGTTGTACTTGCGATGGGGGTTTATTCTGTTATTGGAAACGTTTAGAACTGGGTGTGGGAGCTCTGGCGGAATTTCATCCTTAAGGGTAGATGATAAGGAGGGATTTGTTAACAAGGAAGTTGAGGCTGAGGTTTAGCGGTTTTAGGCTTGGATTGGGAATCCTGAGATACCAGACGTTGAGACTGCTGGTTCTTGATGGTTTGTGAATGTAAATTTATCGAATCCTGTTGAGGATAGTCCGTAGCTGTGAAGATGTATGTCAGTGGCTGGATGACTTGAGAAGGCGATGTCGGTAGTGCTGGGAAATTCGTCCCATCATAAATTTTGGGTGCCTCAGGGCCACTTATTTTATCAAGGCTGACTTTTCAACGCTATATTATGCGATCTCAGCTAGAGAAGATTTGTATAAACTATACAACCTCTGTAGCTCACTGGGTGTCCCTCGCCACACAGTGTCCATGTTACTGCCTCTTTCCTTGTTTTCTAGTAGTTATCAGATGGATGTGATACAGCACATTTCATAAATTTGGCCTGATGATTTTGCCTTTGTGTATACCAAATTTTGACAGTTAGTGCATTGAACTATTATAGGTTTCTGTCTGGGCTTATTAGAACGGACAAGTGAGTATAAAAGACGCTTTAGTTAAATATTCTTTTCGTTCAGGGTTCTTTTTGCAGATTCAAGATCTAAGAAAATTAGTGGTAGCGGGTATTTTTTCCTATGATGAAGCACGGTTGATATGTTTCTTATCCTATGGCGTACGTCTTCCAAACCCACTTTGATCGCTCTTGTTGAAATAGTTGAATGGAGATCTCTTAATACGACTCTATATGCTTCTTCCTGTCTTAGATAGTAACAATGGAAATCATACTTTCTTGAAGTAAAGTGTTCAATTAGTTTCTTATAATATTTTTTAGAGTTGGTATTTATTTTAATATCAATAATTCTGGGAAAACATGTAAGATTTGACTGTCCTGCGATTTTTCCAGTGGGCTTGCTGACATAGAAGCTGCTTTCAATAATAAAGACCGCAGAGGATTCCATCCTCTGAATTATGCCTGTAGGGAAAACGATGGCACGCTGGTCACAGAGGAAGCTGCAATCATGGAAGTATGGGCAAACCACTTCCAAAATCTATTAAATAGAGGATGTCAAGACGATACACTCCCAAGTGACTTCTTGGAGCGGGAAGATGAGGTATTTATAGAGCCCCCAGATGAAGAGGAAATACATGATGCAATTCGGAAATTAATGAATAACAATGCTCCAGGAATCGATAATATCCCAGCTGAGCTCTTTAAACGTAGTGGGGGTGAAATAATAAAATTCCTCCAAGAGTTATAGATTGATATATGGAGAGAAGAAAGACTACCTGCTCAATGGAACAAAACGATGGTTTGCCCCATTCATAAGAAAGGGGATGTATCGGTATGTAATAACTACAGAGGCATCTCTCTCCTTCCCACCGCATACAAAATTCTATCCATCATACTTTTCAATAGACTGCTTCCATTTGCGAACATGAGCTCGGAAAGTATCAATCTGGATTCCGAAAAGGAAGATCTACTACAGATCAAATGTTTACCCTACGAATCCTGTTGGAGAAAACAAGGGAATACCAGATACATACTCACCACCTGTTCATTGATTTCCATCAAGCCTACGTTTCCGTGAACAGACTAGAAGCATATAAGGCAATGGTGGATATCACCATCCCTACCAAACTGGTTCGTCTGGTGAAAATGACGATGTAGGACAACGTATGCTTTGTTAGAGTCGGCGGAATGCTATCAAGAGGATTCACAACGAGGACAGGTGTGAGGCAGGGTGATGGCCTGGCCTATTTTGTGTTTAACTTTTCCCTTGAAAAGGTTAGGGACTCTGGTATCCAAGTAACAGGAACACTTCTCAACAAGACAGTCCAGATTTTAGGATTTGCGGATGACTTGGCTCTTACGGGAAAGACTCTAAACGCCATAAGAGAAGCTTTTAAAGCATTAGAGGAGTCTGCAGCAAGACTGGGCCTAATGGTGAATGTTGAAAAAACGTAATAAATGTGCACCCTACCTACCCACGAAGATGGTGGGAGTCATGTCTCGATAGGTTGCCATAAATTTGAAAGAGTGGAATCATTCATATACCTAAGATCTCAGATCAACCGTAATAACTGCATTGAAGAAGAAATCCTAAGACGGATCCTCTCCGCAAATCTCACCTATTTCTCCCTCCATAAACTCTTGAGAAGTAGTGTGTTGTCGAAGGCCTCGAAAGTGAGAATTTATAAGACAATTATACGAACAGTTCTTACATATAGCTCAGAATCTTGGACAACAACTAAAGCCCTTGAGTATCTCCTTCTCCGTTTCGAAAGAAAAGTGCTTCGCCGTATATATACCATATGAGGGAGGCGCATGGAGAAGAACGAATGCTGAGTTAAGAGCGAGGTACAACGAAATAAACGTACCAACATCGTAAAGGTGTCAAAACTTCGCTGGGCTGGTCACGTCATAAGGATGGATCCAAACGAAGTTCCTTACAAGATCTTAGCTGGGAAAATGTATGGTACCAGGCGGGTTGGACGCCCCAGACTTCGCTGAGAAGACTGCGTGGCTGTAGACGCGAGATCTCTGCTCGGTGTTATGAACTGGAAGGCAGCAGCACGGAACAAGGAGGACTGGCGGTCTAAGCTTGAGCAGGCTATGACTCAACTAGTGGATTGTAACGCCGAATAAGAAGAAGAAACTAGCCAATTTAATTAATATTGTTGACAAGACTACATTGACAAACCATTTAAATTCATTACACGACATTTTTAATCATATCACTATTGTAATTATGGACGTCAACAATTCTCTAGTAATGTATTAATTTGGAATAAAACATTCCAGTATTTTGAAAAACATTGATATAAACAATAATTCAGAATAAGCTCTGATCTTGAGATATTATGACTCACAAATAAAATATCTAGTATAATCAAAAACAATATTATTCATTATATAATACAATTACCTGCTTTAGCTAAAACTTGTATTACTTTATATTTATTAACTCTTCCAGTAAGAAAGAACAATCATAGTATAACAACTACTGTAAATAATCAAATTTTATTGTATAACAATGCAGAAGTGTATAAGGAAGAATGTTAATATAAAAAACTAATTATTATTGTAATAAAATTTATAAACTTATTGATACATTAACAAAATTATTCTATTCATAAAAATATAAGTATTTGTTTAACCACAAATATTAGCAATTTAAAACTCTATATAACTTATTTAAATAGACACAATTGATGTTTTTGTTAGTTTTAAGATTAAACATATTACAATCCAAAATAATTCATCCTATCCAGTCATTTTACCAGAAGCAGCTATGATTAAATTAACAGATAAGGAAGAAATATACCATACTAAAGATAATTACGTATATATGGAGGTATTATCTGCATTACATGTAATTTCTGATTATATAATTTCAATTTAACTTTTAATCAACTAAACATACCTACTTTCAGCAATGAAATGTTTGACAGTCCTAATACAAATTATGAACATGCTTTTAATTTTAATTATTATTTATTAACTTTATCAATGATTGTTTTATATCTATTATTTGTTAATTTTTATAATTTTATACAATGTATAATTCATCAAGTATTCTTATCCAACAAAGGCAAGTAGATAGTTCATCAAGTCCAAAAGAGGAACTTGTACTCCATGAATCTGCATCTGCTAACTCCGTCCATCCACTTCTTCTGAAGGAGCTCGAGAACTTCAGAAAGGAGTACTTAAGGTAGCAAAATAATGGTTTATCCATAAAGTCAGCATTTTTCTCCTGACTCTGTATACAAACCCTTCTCCTACCCACTTATTGATAGTAAGACATAGTCATTCATAGTAGATAGCTCAGATGCAAGACATAGATTAGTTGTTGATTAGCAACAGTATAGTACATTTTGTGTTCATTGTAAACATTTTGGCAAATCTACATTTTTTTAAAATCCGAGTGAGGGTGGAAGATTTGATAGACCCTGAGATCAGAAGATAATTAAGGTCTGTTGCTACTTGCTCCTCCAGCCTCCCTTTTGACAGCTCTATTAAGAACTTAAGCATTAAGAACTAGATGATATTATCTATTTGGGATATACAATAACAGCAGTTAGTGAAAAGATTAATAATGTTTTAATAAACTTTAGAACACTTACATCGAACCGTCGTTGCTTTAAGAAAGCATCAGTTGGAATTGCATCAAAGGGCCTGACTCTGTAACGTAGATGCAACGAAAACACATATAATCTGATAAAATCGTACATAACAGGCTTGTGGCGATTACTGAAAATAAAACTCAACCACGCTTCTGTTGGGTCGGAATCTGTAAAAATATATATATATATATGTTTATAAAAATAAATAAATATATAAAAATAAGGTACTTGTCCATCAGCCGGGTGGGACCGACTGCTATCTGACAATTTTTATAACCTGAACACTGATCATTCCTATCTTCGTATTCATATTTATTGTATTATATTCATATGATTAAAATTGTAAACAAAAACAAATGTAATATTTAAAAAATACTTTTATTTTACGACATATATATTAAATTAATATATATATATATATATATATATATATATATATATATATATATATATATATATATATATATATATATATATATATATATATATCTGATTTGAGTCATTTGATGACCTTGTTTACACAATTTCACGTTTGCAATTATCCCAAAATTGCATGTGCATTCCAAAATGTTTTGAAAATATTCAATAGCCTGTTCTTCTGAAGACGGCAATTCCCAGAATGTAACAAGATCCATAATTTGACGATAATAACACAAACGGGCCAAAAATAAAGAATTTAATAACTGAATGTAATAAGTGAATAACTGAATGTAATAATTGAAAAATAGACAATGTAATAACTGAAAGGTTTGACGAAATAAGAAGAGGGAGGCTATGTTACGTAACGTTAGATATCATAGATGACAAGGGAGGTTTCTTCCCGCCCGGCTAATGGACAAGTACCAAAAATAATAATAATATTATTGTTGAAAATATGAAATAACGTTTTGATGATGTATGCTAATAATTAGGGACCGGATTTTCGTGCAGTAAAAATCCGGAAAACCTACTCTTTGAGCCCTGCTTTGTCCCTCACATAAGAGCAGCAAAGCATGGTACGGAGTCCCCTAGGCTGAATGTAAATATTTTATATCGCAATGAATGTGTGACATGTAATTTTTTTTTTTTTTTTACAGTGTATTTTTTTTACAAGTATTTTTTCTATTTCTTTTAATTTATATATTTTTACTTTACGTTTTCTTCTTATTTTATTTTCTTCTTAGCTTATATTTTAAATTTTATATATAGAATGAATGTAAGCATAGAGCCATAATACCAAATGCCTTTAGTTGTGGCAGACTTTGTGGTAGTACCAAGTGTGTTGTTATTATTCAAATAAATCTATCACCATTAAATGGTGCAATGTTTATTACCCTACTATGATTAATGTTCATTTATTAATCTAGTTAAGAGCCCAGGTATGTAAGAAATTTGTTATGGCTAACATCAATAATTTTATTTTTTTGTGACCATATGGCGGGTTGTTTTATTTTCTAACATTATAAATTATTTTTACTAAATAACGTTATATGAACAAGCCCTCTATATTTAGTACATTCCGATAAGTCCCATTGTTCTTTCGGCCACTAACGCCACAGATCGCCTCTCGCCATGTCACGATATCACGACGCAAAAGAAGACAGTCTGGCGCTGAATAAACTACTATCTCTATAAGATTCTTTATTCTGTCACCATTCCTCTTGGAAAGACCAAAGTGGGTTGTGAGGAGGATAAAACTGAATAATTGTATGAGGAACATAATTATTTTTTGTGAGGTTGTCTAAGAAACAATCACCTCAATTGGAAGTGAGGAAATCGTATATATGGGAGTTTCGAGGTTTTGGGTTTTTGGAAGGAATTTAACCTGAGAGCGGTTAACTGCTTTAAGGGGTAAAGAAAGAGGAATCGGTAAATACAGGAAATATTTAACTATAGTTGTGTGGGAGGAACAGGGAGTGAATTTGTTAGATATATGTTAAGCGACTTCTTTTACTCTCTTCTCATGTGATGAACCCATGGGGAATCAGCATAACAGCGGAGGGAGTGAGAAATGGACTGAAATTTCAATATTGTTTTACTTACGCTCCAGAGTGAGTCATCACCTGCAGATAGTGAGGAATTGTAGGATTGAGATATTGATGTAGCCAATTTCTTATTTGTTTTCCATCTCCACCCCAACTAACTTCTCGTATCAATATTTATTATATATAGTAGAATTAAATATTGATACTTATTAATTAAATCCCAGTATTATTGTATGCATTATTATAATTTATTTGTTATATATAGTAGAAATACATTTATAGATCATAATTGTTCAGTTAAGATAGTTTGTAGACGTTGAAGAGAAGATAATGTCTTTCCTGTAGGCTAATAACGATAGGAAAATAGCAATAAACATTACTGCCATTTATTCTGTTTTTTATAATGCTGGTAGAAGTTTAAGATTGGAATTCTTAAATCTTGTAGATTAACTTGTGTTGGATTAAGGGGCTAAGTTCAATTCATATAAGTATTCATATCAAGATATAAACAAAATACGTAACAACATACAGATACAGAATTACAAAAAGAAAACTTCTTGAATGTAAAAAAAATCACGTAAAATTGAAACAAGAGGCTATTTACTTTTAGCACCGCCTCTTTCTTTCAACATCGACAATGCCCAGTGAAGGTATCGCTCAAATGGTACTAACTCTTCAACGGAGTCATAATCGCTACCTAATCGCATTTCAATAAGACTATGGGGTCTTCTTTCATAGCCGGAATTTTCTTTTATGTTACTATCATTGCTTCTAAGAGAATCCATTTTTTTTTATTTCTGTTATTCAATGTAATTATCAAATTATATTAGTATGTAAATGAACACAAAATTTAAATTGTTTTAGATTCGTGTTTCATAGCATCAATAAACAATCCCTTTAACAAACAGTTTAACATAAATTATTTTATAATATGAAAAAGTGAAGTAGATCAATATCAAGAAAAAGTATAATCAATGAGTGCTTCAATTACATTATTGAACCCTAGGTGATAGAATACAACAAGCAAAGTGGATGTCTTCAAGTTATAAATTATTTTGATATTGCAAGTAAATTACTTATCTCACCCCAAAATTGGTCCTCAATTTGTAGCCATGACGAATGAAACAAACGCACATTCATCGACAATAAAGTCTCCCACTGCTAAACAGGTCTTAAATCTTGAAAGAGTCAGCTAAAAGAATTATTCAATCACAGCCGTTCACAAAACTGATCTCAATCTCTTCATCCACACTGAAAATCGTTTTAAAAAAAAATCTCTCTGTTGGTTCCATTTCAAATTTCATACATCCGTTAAAAAATGTCTCGAACCATGCTCCTTCAAATCTTCAAAAAAGGAGTCAGAAAACTTGTTTCTCTAAAACTCCCTGCGGCTGGGAGTTTGGAGTATATGAAATCTTGCGGTCTTCATAACTGAAGAGCAAAATTTCTTATTGATTCTGGTGCAGATATTTCTGATGTACCTCCGTCACAACTTAAATTACCCGTAGAATTGATATAATTTTTGCAAATGATACTCCGAGCAAGATCGAAGTGGCACAGGACCAGATACCCATCAGATAAGACATATTACAACAAATTAACTAACCAACTAAAAGCTGAAATTAGAAAATACAAAATTCAAAATTTACTTAACATGACAGAAAAACTTACTACTACCGACAAATCATTATGGTTGACCACTAAAAAGCTCCTTAAATTTAAAAATTTAAATTTAAAAACCGCCCACTTATTACTGAAACCCAAACCTGGTCCAGATCTGACGAAGAAAAATCTCAAATATTTGCTCAGCACCTCTTCAAAACATACAATACTGATCACAAACAACACTGAGTCCAAATAAGTACTTACGGACTAGAACTGTGAGGAACAGCAAAAGTTTCTAACATCAAACGCATCCAATCATTCCAGTCAAAAGTCCTTCAAACAATGGTCGATGCTCCTTTTATGTAACCAACAGAACCCTACATCATGACCTCAACACCCCATTTGTCCTTGACCTTATCCCAGAAAAATTCTCCAAATTTCACCAGAATCTTACGTATCATCAAAATTTTCTTGCACAATCCCTGTCAAGCACCACTCATCTCTGTAAACCTCCAAGAAGGTTGAAACGGCCGTGGCCCTGCGACCTTTTGTAGATTGTATATATTGGAGTTCTGGCAATGGCCAGGTTCTCCACTCAGACATGTGTGTATGTGGCTGAAGTGGTCTCGATCAATCTCAGCTGGTTTTAGTACCAGTGATGCGATTGAGAGATTTGGAAGGACAAGCCTTCCTCGATGTTCCCTCATCTTATTGTAAATAGTATATATATATGTATAAATGTGTTTTTGCTTAGTTATAATTTTCTTCTTTTTAGGTTATTTTATTTATTTTATATACTTTTTGATTATTTATTGTTATTTTGCTTCTATTTATTTTATATTTTTTGTACATACAGTGTGAATGTTATTCTACCTCACTATAACTAATGTTCAAGTGACAGATTTTTGTAATACTCAATAAATATACTAAAAATATATACATATATATATTCAGCGAAGTATTTTTGATTTGAGTTTTATTATTATAATTAAAACATTTTTGCATGCATACATAGAGTAAAGGAAGAAATTGTTCAATTATTTTGGAAAATTAAATTATTGAATCATTTTTTTTTCGTTAATAAAATCCATATAATGTACCATAAACTTTATTATAGCACTATACTATGCCATTTACGAGTACTGAATGATGTGGCAGAGGCCTGGTGACACAAACGCCTGTACCGCTTTTTCGCCAATTAAGAGAATTTTTTGCAAAACCGCTATAAATATTTTAAAAAGTAATCAGTGTTTTAGAAAAAGAAATCTATTCTCTCGAGATTTTATTTGATAATGTTTTCCGTTATTGTTGGCCGTTTAATTACAAACGACACTTGAATTTCAACTTGAATAGTTTTTTTTAATTGACTTTACTGGTATTTTTTATTGTTTAAGCCAAGTATTTTTTAATACTGTTCCACGTTTTATTATTATCTAAATATCCAGCTTTAATAAAGTCCAATTATGACAAAATTAAGTTAAAAGCTGATTCTCAGTGACCAAAAAACTAATTCAAGTCACAGTCGTTAATCCGCCATCTTTGGACCTCATTTTGGGGCAGTGCGTTCCCTTTTTTTGTGGGAACATTGACTTTATTTTAATAAATAGTTACAAGGAACCCAACGATATACAATTTATAGGGATGTGGGGGGGGAGGGTTACACGGTAGGGTTGTCTGGCCCACCGTGTATAACCTTTGTTCAGTAACCTTTAGCGTCACTCCACTTTATTTTAGTAGTTGTCAAGAACTGCCAAAGCAAGACATTGTAATTTGTATTTGTTAAAACAATACCGTGTTAATTATGTATATTACAAAGTAATTTGTGCATTCCATTCAATTATACTGTGCTGTATTCAGGAGAATCAAAGGCGTTTGCACACTGATTTTTCGCTATTTAATAAAAAAAAACAATAGCTTTGACCTACAAAAAAATTTGTTATACAAATAAACTATAAGTATAATGGAAGTATTACTTCCATTATCACTATACTTTTAATTCATTTGAATTAATCTTTCCATAAGTACTCACCATACACATATGTCCTGAATTAATTTCCTTGTTATCCTTTTATTTTAAATTTTCGATTGCTAGAGCAAGTTTTCGAATATTCCATAAACAGCCTGCTGATGCTTCCTGCAATATCTCATCTGATGATGCAATCATTACTAATAGATACTGAAATTGATAAAATTAAAACATATTTGTTATTTATCAGTTTAAAGTAAACTGTATAAAGCTTGTGCTAGTACTGGTACTAGTAGGAACAAATGGGTCTTGTGCCCTTTTTTGGCAACCGCTGATGGCAAACTTCTTAGATATCAATTTATTATTTGTTGCTAGTTTGATTATTTGTCGTTCGAATTGTGCTATATTTAGGTTCCATTTTCGGTCTATTAATTTCTATAATGAGTCCCTAAAAGAAAGGATTTAAGTTTCAAGATTCATAATATACAAAAATTGAATTTAAAAAAATCGTTGTCTGACATCCGTTTCTTTTCTCAAAGTAGTCTTCATTATCCATACGCCAATTTGGTCAAGTCACTCCAGGACTTGATTTATACAGTACTCCCTCATCCGAGGGTTCATGTGATCTCAAGCAATCCATGAAATCATCTTCAATAGGTAGTCATGGGTTAATGGGTATCTACCGCCTTGGTGTAATAATGTTTCTCCATTATTCCAGTACATCTTGCTCGTCTGTGACAAGGGTCCCATCCTCTGCCTTTCATGCTTTAGATTCAGTCCTAAATGGTTTTTAGCTGTAATTTATCTATTGAAAGTAATCGGGATGTTTTTTTACTCTAAAGGAGTTTTTTAACATTTTGTTTTCCCTACACTTTTTCTTTCTTCTTTGCACATAAGTTTTTTGGCAGTATTCTATAATCCTCATGCGACCACTTTGTCAATCTGGTCTGTAACATGGTGCATTAGGCTTCATTTTTTCTTGCATTCATGACTCTGCATCCTTCCTCAAACCACGCGTTTCGTTTACATACTGTTTCTTATCTGTCCCTCATCTGCCCCGTGTAGTTGTTCTAACCGAATGCTTTCTTAACTTTCATATTTTTCTACTATGTCGTATATAGCGTTTATGGCCCTAAGTTTCTGACTTGAAAATCTGAAGCTATTTTCTTCATCCTTTAAGTTCGTCAAGTCGAACCTCGTGGGTTTGATTCCATGCCATTGTTTCTTAATTGTGACTCTTAATTTGAATTTTAGCCGCCACAAAAAAGTGATCTAAATTAGAACTGGCACCTCCGTATGTCCTCACATCAAGTAATAAGGATCTATGACTTGAGCCAGTTACTAGAACTACAATTAGTAGAACATGATCTATTTGTGAGATTTTGACACGTCCCTTTGGACCTTGTTTTTTCCATGTACCGAGAGATATCTTCTTATGAGGGAGACCGGACCACCCCACACTCAAGTTTTTTGAAGCTACAAAGCTTATCAAGCTTCTCCCATTGTCATTAGTTATATTATGAAAACTGAAAGGGTCGATGGTTGGTTGGTAAATTATTTCTTTCCCGATTTATGCATTAAGATCACCAACCACCAGTTTCATACAGTGTTCAGTGTACCCATCGATTTTTGTATTCATCTCCACATAGAACAAATCTTTGTTTCAATGAAATGTAATATGATAAGTAAATATATTCTTTGACAAAACTGATTTGAAAAATATGTATATATATCTTTTTTTTTTGTGTTTGGCGCTACAGAACATGTAAATCTTTGGCCACGTGATTCGGCCTTTTACGGTATTCGCAGTGTCCTTTCCAAAGCAAGAAATAATAAAAGAAATACTTGTAACACATTCATTCCTATGTACAATATTTACATTCATCCGCTCTCACGTGAAAGGCAAGGCAGGGCTCAAAGAGATCCCAGCCCTTCTCTCCCAGCAACATCACTGTTTAAAGCCACTGAAGACTGAGTAAGAGCGTTAAAACCATCTACGCTCAGGAAATGAGTGGATAACCTGGCCACTGCCAGAACTCCAATTGACTATTTATAATAGATCTCGGGGCCATTGCCATTTCAACCTTTATGGGGAGTTATATGGATGGTTGGAGCTGAAAAGAGATTGTGCTAAGGGATGAGGATAATAGATAAGTTTTTTAAGAAAGTTTGAGAATTTGAATAGAATTACGTCTAGGGCAAATGGGATATTAAGATCATCATGTAAGGTTTTGTTTGTGACGTAATACGGAGCATTAACTATTGTT